TATACCAAAAAGTTGGTATCCGATTGACATCTCTAGTTGTTTCAGTCTCTGGGTATTTGTTTAGTAATCTATAAATTTTGTGATCAATTTTCTAAATAAGGTACATACTTGAAGAGCTACCATCATTACACGAATTTACGACTTTTTTGCACCGTGGCAGTGTTAAGCGCCACATATCTATCAAGCGTGGAGTCAACAGATGGACGCATCCATTAGTTTTGATGGGATCCATAAGCGCTTTCGTTATAAGCGGTATGACCATCCATTTTTGGATCATAGGGTGAGTGAATAAGATGCAAAACTGCAGAAATTTAACCAAGTCGAGTGTTGACTACGATAGTTACTGAATTGGTTGACGATGGTTACTAGTGATGTCAATTACGGAAAATCGGAATACCGATACCAAACCAATTACCAACCAAAACCGTGGAGAAATACCGAAACCAAACCAACTTGGAAACATGAGGAAAATACCAACTTTTTACCGATCCCTTAGCCTCTTAAACATTAGCGAGGGTTCATGATACCAACAAAATACCAAACACATAGGATTGAAATACCAAATACCGAGTTGGTATCGGTTTGGTATCGGTATACCAAAAAGTCGGTATCCGATGGTTACTGAATCCATCCTGCTGAGATGGGAGTGGTAAACGGCAATCCCGAATTATAGCATACCATGACGGGTGAGAACTTCCTCATCAATTGAATTTCAAGGAAATTTTACTTCATCTGCTTTTGGGCACCAACTTTTTTGGTCTCCCTAGACGTCATCCGTTCTCCAACATCCGACAGCAAATAATTCCCCTTAAGTCGAATAAACTCCGGAGCGCTGGAAAGCGGTAACTTATCCATATGGTCACAAATACGCCATTGCTGGACACCAGTACATACAGAGTTTACAGACATACCTCATCTCGTAAGTAAACCAGGATTATGCTGAGAGCGATGAGCGAAATCGTGTGAAATACTGACATCAGCGCCACTAGTGGTTAGTTATTATACTAGTGGTAACAAAACCCAACACCAGACGGCAGTCCTAGCATTATTCTTCACTTTCACTCTGCTGCCTATGCTCACCAGTCACCGTAGGCACTTGCTCACATAAAACTCTTATTGGACATTTATCCTAATTACCTCCAGGCTAAAATCCCTCAGAAAATGAGGTCTAAATATATATTTACGCCAAGTTCATCGCGCTCAGAGGTCGCTGACCCCTCTCACGAAGATGGCACCTTTGTCGATGCGCTGACTCCAGACTCACCGGAGGGCATCGAATGATGGTCGATTATTCGGGCTCTGAGCGCACTGGTCGGTTCAAGGGCGCAGCTTTGCCAGCCGAGGCCCCGAGGAGGCTCGCGCATCGTGAGCAGAGCTGTGGGAGCCACGTGAGAGCGCTGTTTGGGTGATAGGGAGGGATAGGGAGGGGGAGGGGTGGAGTTACGTCATCGTGAGGCGAGAGGCATCGTAAAACTCGAGCGTGCTGGGGAATGAGCATGCCATTTATAAAGGATGGAGAGGAAGCACGATGACTGTGAAGATTCTTAAAAGCGCTTGGGACTCAGCTTCAATTCTTTTGAGCTTAAATCACATCTTGTTAGTTATTACTGCTTTTAGTTTTTATAAATTCTCACATGAAGTTTTATTTTCCTTTTTCATAAGAATTGATTTGATGAACTTTCATTAGCCTATATGAAATATAATTAAAAGCATTAAACACTTAGGTATAACTAGATTTGATAAATTAACATTGGGTACGACTATGGACAAAATAAGACGGAAAGAATCTCTCTTGAACAGCCCATTATCATCTTTGGTCATTTTTTCCTGTTCGGCAGCCATCCGTTGAGTGACTATAGGTGACCTGTCGCACCGGGACACAACCATCCGGTCGGGATGGACGCAGCCAGTGCGGCGGACCGTCAGCGGCCAGTAGCCGACTCAGTCCAAACCTGAGGTCTTCTTGAATCCATTCCAAATAACTAATGTCGATTTCGGCAGGTGTTTCACTTTTCAAGATAAGTGGCTTTTCACTGACGTGCGTTAATATTTGTGCGCGTGTGTTTAGTGCGCACGTTGCGATAACCTGTTAAAAGTACGCAGCCATCCCCAATACATAAGTGGTCTATATCCCAGTGACCGTAGCCAATGTCTCAAGACATGCATACCGATGTCCCACAGGCAACGTACAATTTATTCTGGCGACAGATGCGGACAAAGTTTTGTGCGAAGGTCATTTTCTTCGAAGATAAGTTCCGTTGTTCGATTCTTGTAGTTGTGTTTGCAGTAGCTGCCATCGTTCATACGGTTTCTTCTCGTGAAGCCAGTGAAACGTGGGTGAAGGTCCATTGTGTTTCATGGTGATCTGCATGCTATTTGAGAAGAATACCTGCAGTAAAAAATTGGTTCCTTTTCCATTATTTGTTTTCATTCTTATTTTATTACATTTTGTTGTTTATGCTGGTGTCATGCTGATAGCTCACTTGTGCCCAAAGAATAAATCAGCTATTAATGATAATGAGGCAATGAAAATGACGAGTAGTACAGTGCGCATTTCCTCCTTCAGATGTCATGGTCTTCTTTCAGACTATGTTTTTTGTTACTTTGCAAGTATTTTCACTAAGCCCAAAAAGGCCAAGTGTTTCAAGAGATGTGGTCTTATACACCCCGAAAGCTCAAATACTTTGGTGAAGGTTCTCAAGCTGCCAACAGCTAGCGGCAAGCGGCCAGAGCAGCCTGAAGTCCAGGCTTCGAAATCAGGAGGGCCTTGGGCTACTGACCAAAGAAATTGATAATTTTCCTGAAGCTCACGAGGTTATCGATGCGTAGGCAAGTGAACGGCTTTTAATGGTCAGTTTCTTGAAAAATAGCAATAGCAATAGCATCGGCATATTACGAAATCGGATGCCGCGACCACTGTCCGATCGACGCGAGTCTCATTTTCCTTCTCAACAGTAAAGGGTGTGTGGCATTTGTGTGCTTGATTAGATCTTCAACTTTGGGTTCGTAGGTAGGTCACTTAACTAGTTCTCTATGTCAAGGTCTAGTTCAGTTGATTTTAACTCTACGCGGAATGTAGGCGGACCTGGATGAGCGAAGTTCTGAATCCAGGTCACAGAGTTTCCTCAAGAGAACTAAGTACATAATTTGATCTGATTCCACACAGTCCTGCTTTGCTTTGCTGCTAAACCAGCGCACGGGCGGAATCTGAGCCAGCTTTTCGCCAGCTAGGACTCAGGTTAGGATGTAAGTGCGGGTGCTAACTGCTAAGCCAGGTGCTAAGCGGATTCCAACGCAGAAAATGAAGTGTTCTGGACAATAGGTATGTGGAAAGAAGAACAAAGTGGTCAATAGATAGATAGATAGATAAGATTTATTTCAGACTCTGGGTCCATAATACTGATGATTTCAGCCATAAAATAAAGACATTTCATTGTCAATAAAGACATTGAATGTAGGTAAAAAAGATAACAGGTGATAGCAAACCAGTCTAACAGCGCAATTGGAAAAATATACGTCAACAGATACATGCCAGTGGCAGCCACGTCAATGCAGTGATCTAAATGTCTATTTATGTTTGTTACACTTCTCCTTAGATCCTTTCAAATTTACAACTACCATCAGCTGATCTCTTACCAGCCGTGAGCAGTAGGATCTAAATTCTTTGAAATGGTCATCAACCCTGAGACACTCCGAGGATTTTCACCCATCGACGGATGTATCTAGCGGATAAAAGTAACGGAAAAACCGGTTGAGGACTGACGAACGCATCAATTAAAAGTCCCATGACCCGGTCCCCTATTAGATCTCTCACGAACAAAGCTCATATTTTGTCTGTCAACAGCTCCAAACAACTACGCACTACAGCTGCAGAGCTACGTCACATGCCAACTTCGTGGCAGGAGGCCACACCCAGCCATCTCATGAATGCCCCGCCCCGCCCCTCCCCTCCCGGCCCCCTCCGCCTGCCCCTCCCACCTTAGATGTCATGACCGGGGGGTCAGCGACCCGGCTGTGGCTTTGGAGGCGGCGTTGGGCCAGCGACCCTCCCGCCGGCAGAACGGGACCAGTTTAGAGCACCAAGTCGAGCCCCGGTGGGCTGAGTGGTCGGCCAAAATCACCGGTTAATGAACTATGGTGGCGAAATGACAGCGGAGAGTCCGGTGGTAACAGAGGACAGGGGTCACATTCCGGCAATGGGGACCAGGGGTGACGATGTTTGGCTGCAAGAAATTCCAAAAATATCCTTGTCGCACTTTTCCAGTCGACGTCTTCCTTGAATTACATTGATCGTATTGCGCAGGGTCAAGTTTTGAGGCTAGCAATAACTAAATGTCTGTATCGCCATGTGTGACTTATTATATGCAGTCAATTGACCGATAAAAATAACAGAAGTTCCAGCTTGAATCACATGTTCACTTTACTAGCAGTTTACCTCCTAATTACAAATATCATAAGAGATATAAAAAATGAGCGTTTCGATTGTGGCGTAGGTAGTTCGATTTCACGCTTTTCCTTTATCATTAGGCAAAGTATAAAAACAGATGAGCAGAAATTTAATTTTTGCATATTGCAAAATAATGCTATTCGAATTCATCGAAATTTATTTTTGAAAAATGCTAAAAATATCAATTACAAATTGTGTTCTTGTGGACAGAAAAAAAAACGATCCAGCAGCCAATGAAAAAAAAAATCTTGCATAAAACAAATGGCCTGCATTACTTTTCTAAAAAATCAAACGCTTTCTTTAGACATGCCCTCAACACATTTTGCCATCGCACCGTCGCCCCAAAACCCACCGGTCCCGTTGTCCCGCTCCGCACGTGTCCGGTCATGGCCCCTTGGCGTCTTTTTCACCTTCCTCCGGTACCCAGCCCAGTGACCTTGAACTTGAAACCGCCCTGGGTCGCCGCCGCCGCCGCCGCCGCCGCCGCCGCTTCGGCCGCCCGCCGCCGCCGCCGCGCCGCCGCCGACGACGACTGTTGGTGTTCAGTGTTGCACGAGGCCCGGACTGGGGTGGTGGTGGTGACGGACGCTCCTGGTGACGACAGAACGAGGACAACAATCGCTGACGACGCAGCTGGGAGAGGTGTGAGGTGAGTGGGGTTGAGATCCCCCCTTGTTTGGGGAGGACTGACTGTGGTGTGGTGTTATTGGCTTGCGATAATTTGTTATATTTGTTGAAAGTAATTAGGGGGTCACGTTGGTTCTTCAAAAGTGAAAACAAATGTTGAAATGGATTGAGAAGTCACATTGCAGCGCTGCATTGCACGGATATAAATGAATTTACGAAAAAAATTAAATATTTCCTTTTAGCCACTTCAAAATATGCTGATAGTTTCAGTCCTGCTGTTGTCATTCCAATACCTACCTCAAAAACCGGTTTGAGGCTCGAAACTTCCCTGATAACTTCAGCCAACAATACAACTTTATTAAATGTTGCCCCTTATCCAGATCAGCCAAGTATTGCTATCATGTGACTCGGCTAATTGCTGCACGAGAGACTCGTAGATTCTCGATGCATTGACTCATTTTGTTAATTGCTTTTTGGCTTATCGGTAGATATGAGCCGTTTCACGAGTTATCTGGCGAGTGGCAAACGCACCTAATTTGACCAAATCTGCACCTAATCTCTTTTATAACAAATATCTTCATGTCATGAATTTATCTCAGTCATGTTTTAATCGACAGCAATGCCTGATAATTTGATAAATGATGCCTATAAGCATCTATGCAGCCCAAACGGACAACTTTTGAGAAACACATTGAACCTAATTTGACCAACTATGCACCAAATCTGCACCTAATCTGCATCAAATGTGTACCAGATAGCCGTCGTGAAAACGGCTAATACATATGTATGACTTTCTGGTTGGGACTGGAGCTCGACCACACATTTAACGCAAGTGAATTATCAATAAGGTACCGCAGCGTTGCATAATTAAATGCAAAATCTGTTCCTATATTGTTTTTTTTTGGGCTGGTGGTGCAACCAAAACCGAATCTACATACCCAAACAACGCTGATGGGTAGACACTTCATGAGTGAGTCAAACAATTAACTCCCTGTAGCCAGTTTGAGCTGGGAAACGGTGAAGGTCCTCCGCAGAAGAGAAGAAGTGAGGTCCCGAAAAGAAGCGAGGGTAGGGCCTTCACTTATTTGTGTGATTAAACTTAGCGTGGTTCACACCGGATCCGTAATGACCGTTACGTTCCGTAATGAATACGGTGGCGATTAAAAAATATCTCGAAAGTGGAGGGCACAATGCAACGCGCATGCGTAGTTCGATTTTTTGACGCCGTAACGCCGTAATGGTTACGGATTCGGTGTGCACCGGGAATTGCCATCGCTGAGCGTCACCGTTCGAAGCAAGTGCGCCAAAACTCTATTTTGTTTATAGGCAAGCGGAAAATGGACTAAAGCCAAGAGCTGTTTTTAATACTGGAGCGCCAGAATGTAGACTTGTTTTACTCTCTTCCTTTTAATTTGTTAATTTTGCTCTGACATAGCGGTCTGCAATTGTATCGAGTCATATCATTGTTAATTAAACGCCGATGGGCAGAACACTGGTCGGAGACTCTTGCATTATTTCTTGCATTACAAGAGGGCTGTCTATGCCCGTCAACGCTGAAGTTTATTTCTTACATTCTTTGCTATTCGTGGGTGATGGGAATACCAACGGACGCCAGAATCTGGATTGTATACCATTTGCTCGATTGGCTTGCCAAGAGTCAATGTGGATTCAAACGTCTGCCAATATCTACAAGTCCAAGTATCAAATTTAGCAAGTAGCAGAGGCAATATGGCCGGTGATGTTTACTCAGAACTCCATGAAACTCAGAACTCAGAACTCCACAAACAAGATACAAAGTAAGCCGTGAACGTTACACGCTGAGGGCATGCTCACAAGAAATAATAATTATTGGCAGGTTGATTCGAGCTAAGGTAAAAGGCCAAAGGGTCTGCACGTGCGCACGAGCAGACCGCTGCCCTCGTCAACATTTGGAAGCTTCACAATCGCTCGGCGATACCTTGGCTTAACCTACCAAAGATGCAATCCCAAGCAATCGGAACATGCCATTAAAAAGGGTAAGCACGCGCACGTGTGCAGACCAATACGCTCGCTGACCTGTGGAGTCTTCTAATATGCATGGTGTTATTCAGCATACTTAATATAAGCTCTATCGGCCCAGCCGATCTGCGGTTATGGAAAAAGGGTGCGCACGTGCGCACGTGCTAGCCTATACCCTCGCTGACCAGTACAAGCTGCAGGTCAGCATGGTGTCATTCGGCATGCTTAATATGAGCGTTATCGGCCCAGCGGATCCCGAGATATGGAGAAGGGGTACGCACGTGCGCACGTGCAAATCAATGTCTTTGCCAACCCGTGCAATCTGCTCATAAGCATGGTGTTATTCAGCATACAAAATATGAGCGCTATCGGCCCAGCCGATCCACAGATATGAAAAAGGGGTACGCACGTGCGCACGTGCAAATCAATGTCTTTGCCAGCCCGTGCAATATGCTTAAAAACATAGTGTTTTTCACCATACTTAATATGAGCGCTATCGGACCATCCGATCCCCACATACTAAAAAGGGGTACGCACGTGCGCACGTGCATGCACAGGTCTTTGCCAACCTGTGCAATATTCATATTTACATGGTGTCCTCTAGCATACAAAATATGAGCGCTATCGGCCCAGCAGATCCCGAGATATTAAAAAGGGTGTGCACGTGCGCACGCGCTGAAGAGATTCAAAACCGTTCAAAGGTCACCGGATGTGTAGTGTGCACCCAGCCAAAACAACAAACAAATTTTGAGCTGTATCGCTTCAGCCGTTCCCGAGTTATGAAATGACGAGCTCTTCTGGAACCTCTCACGTCGCACGTGGCACGCGCTGTAACAGGCACTCATGACTTTTATGGATAGCACAGTTCCATGAAGAAAAGATACATCCCCTCCCCAAAGAAGACCGCTCATCAAACAGTCAAACCGTTTTGGAGATACATGTCAACAAAAGTCATTACGGCGGCCGGTCGGGTCGAAAAGTTCAATTTTCCCAACTTCTCTTACGTTCCGTAACGAGTACGGTGGACGATGCCAGTTTACGGCGGCTGGTTGCCAAATTTCAACTTCGTCTAGAAAAGTCGCAATGCTTGGGGAATCTTGAGAAATGTCTTGCTCATTACGGCCGTAACGGTTACGGCGTCATTACGGATCCGGTGTGAACCACGCATTACTCTGAATCTTTTTGCGGTACAGATGGAGCTTTCATCTTCAAATAAGCCAAATTATTACGGAGCGAGCGAAGCGAGCGTAGTCTTTCCTTAGATTAACGGAAATTTCTGAGTATGAGCGGCCGGCCGGCCGGCCGGCCGGCCGTGGTCACGCTTTTGCGAGGCTTATATCTCAGCAACCACTTGACCGATTTACACGCCGTAATTTTTGTAGGGTAGCTTCATTCCTTCTACCAAGTATTGGACTATTCCCGATGCATGTGGGTGACCCCTTATGCACGTGCCACGTGCAAAACGAAGAGGTGTCACTTTTGTAATTGTTGCAATATCTCGGTAACTACTTGGCCGATTGCGCTGAAAGTTGGCATGTAGGTAGGCACCCACTAGGCAATGCATATCCATGTGCCAGAGTTGGGGTGCTGCTGCACGTGCGCACGTGCAGGGGTCGTTTCCAGATCTCGAGAACGGCTGGGCCGATTGTGCTCAAATTTGGCACATCGCTAGAAACCGGTCAGTAGGGTGCCGTGCACAAGTCAGTTGGAGGTACCCCCTCGAAATTTCGCACGTGCAAGACTCACCCCCTCGCTCGCTCCGTTAGTCGCCCCAAAAGGCGCTATACTGGTTTAAGGTCGTTTAGAACTTCTCGGAACATCACGCGAGAAAAGATAAACATAACAATTAAAATATGCAATGTAATTCCAGTTACGATGAAACAGCAGGCTTTTATTATTTTTAAATTGTCTAGCGAATCGCTTTACATAATGAAAATAAAGCATTTGATAAGAAAACCTAGTAAAGGCGATGCACGCTTACCAGAGAGCAATTAGAACGTTTAACTCCATTTATCATTCGAGCATCCTTTGAATATTCTTTTTTATCGCTTATCACGGGCAAGCTAACTAACAAAGCATTGTTGTGCCAAATATTGTGATAGATTTTCCAGGAATAGAACCAAAAATACATCCCAATCGAATAGAGTATCCCTTTTAAGCCACCAAGCTTCCTTATCCCCAAGACCAGCTTCCAAGTAATCCCTTCCTTGAGATCTTGCAGATAAACATGGTTCAAAAACACTGCACAGCTCTGTTGTTACATAAAGCCACACTTCAACATCTTCCTGTTCATATTCACAGGTAAAGTTGTTTCTGTTTTACGATACAAATGACGCCACTAAAGCTCAGCTGACTCTGGTCAGCTGACTCTGGTCTGAACTCCGCTGCGGCCGTTGGGCGCTCTGAATAGCGTCTTCACGATAGAGCGTCTCTTCAAGGTCAGGTGACCACACCTGGGTGTGAACGACCCCAGTCAGGAGGATCCATGAGGGGGAGGGGGCGGAGGTGCGGGGGGAGGTCAGTGACCTCTCCAGACAGGTGTGATGGGATGCTATTAGCGGGACGAGTTTTGAAGTGGGTTTGGGGAGGTGGTCACTGTGGAGATGGAGTTTGGTCATGGAATTCAGACGTCAGAGGGGCAAAAGGTACGAATGCGATGCGCTGAATTATCGAAGTTTGTTGTTTATTAATTTGTAAATATTTGCAGTATTCGGAAATCAGAAGCAAATGCAAAATTTAATCAACATATTTAATGATTTCTAAAATTCAGCAAGCTTGAGATATCACAATCCTCCAGCTCGTAGGACATCTGGGACATTTATTGTAACCAAAAATCACATTTTTGGTATTTTCGTTTTTTAGCACGACGCTTGTTACCGTAATTCCAACACACGAGACGAAGTTGCAAATAAATCATCGGCAGTCGACACCCTGTAATGACGATGTAAATGACGTCTTTCCCCACAGGAAAAACAAAGCTTAGTGGTCGCATGAAAAACACCTTGATGCTCACAAAACCACGCA